TGTGGTTAGTTATGGAGGAACAGTGGCTGCAATGAACAGCAAGACATATCCCACAATCTTTTAATCTTTTCCTGTAGTGCAAAAAGACTCTATTTTTTCTACACCATGCAATTAAAAGATTAAAATAAAACTAAAGTCATCTGAGCTTTTGAAAAAAACCCACCCTATTTTTGTAGTTTTGGAAGTATGGTGTGTAAGAACTGCTATTTCTATGGAGGAACAGTGGCTGCAATGAACAGCAAGACATATCCCACAATCTTTTAATCTTTTCCTGTAGTGCAAAAAGACTCTATTTTTTCTACACCATGCAATTAAAAGATTAAAATAAAACTAAAGTCATCTGAGCTTTTGAAAAAAACCCACCCTATTTTTGTAGTTTTGGAAGTATGGTGTGTAAGAACTGCTATTTCAGTAGTAGAGTCTCAAGTCTTGAGTTTAACAAAAGTGCCCTTAAATAATAAACCAAAGTTATAAAAATGAAACATACATTCTTTGAAGGCAGAATGCCTACTGAAATTATTGTATCTTACAAAAAAACCCAACAGAACAGGTGTGATTGTTATATCACGTGTCAGAATTTTACTGGTATTATTTCCAGACAAAGTGGGGCAAGAGCCATGGCTGTGCCAGTGTGTGCAGCCGTGGGAGCAGGAGGCCAGCCAGGAGAGAGCCATTTGAGGAACCATCCACACCAGCTGCATTTTGAGGGGGTAAATTCTGGTTCCTTGATGTGACCTGCTTTTCCTGTGGGTTGGAGTTAGCAATGGCACAGGTCATGGCATGTGTGGTCTTCAAGCCAAGCAAGCACTCTAAGGATGGGGCAGGGGAGTGGTAGGGGAATTTGTTCCAAAAGCTTATTCCAAAGGAAATGGGGAACCTGTAGGGCCTTTGCAGAGAGAGGCCTTCCTGTGCTGTCTGGCAGCCACAGGGCTTCAGGGGCTGGTGATTACTGTACTCCTTCCCTCTCCTTCTCCCCACCTTGGGCACGGTCTTCTCCCGCCCTGCAGACACAAGGGGCAATTCCTTATCCTCGAGGTCAACCTTTCCATTGACTGCCCAGCAGGGCCATGGGGCTGTGCAGAGGTTGCAGATGGTTTCCCCAGGGCTCTGCCCCGTGCCGGGACCCTCGGGTGTGTGAGGAAACCCCCCGGTGCCATATGCCAGGCTGCCAGAAACAACGGCTCCGTGTGAAGGAGTTGGGAGAACATGACCCGCTGCGTTTATTACAGAACAGTGTGGGAACTGGTCTGTTGTTTCGCGCTGATATCGAGGTCAAGAAGGATGAGTTTCCTCCTCGATCCTCGCGTGTGGATGTGATGCTGTCAGGAGCCCCCTGGTCCGGCCTGTCGGATCGTCTGACAGCTTTCAGAGCAGAGTTTGTAGAGACCTGGAATAGAAAGAATTATTTCACTTTCAGTCAGTTCGGTTTTAGGAAGGGAGTTTTATGCTAAGATAATAGGAGTGTAAAGATTTTCCTTTTTCGTGGTAGGGCCTGACCTTTGTTTGTGTTTTACAAAGCTATTTCTCTTAAAAATTGAATTCCATGAATAATTATATGTTTCTTTCACAAATTAAGAGGATTTTTTTTTTTTTACTTGTAATGGCCTTGTGTTCTGTGAAGTGAATGCAGAGGGCTCACAGGGATGTTGTGTCTTTTTCCATTTTCCCAACAGAGACTTTCTTTCCCTGAATCATTCTCAGACGATGCTATCTACTGCTGTCACTCTTAGCTGTATGTCTGTCACATTCCCTCTTATCCTTCCCTCAAAAGTGTATTCTTGGCCTTTCTTTTCTGGGAGATCCATCCAGTTGCCCTTGCTTTAAATCCCAGTGGGAAAAGATTTCTAAAGTAGAAATGTGGGATCAATGTGTGACCACACCACATCTTGTTCTCTGCTCTGTTCTGCCCTGCCTTGCTATCTTCTGAAGCCAGAGGTGTCTCACAGACCTGAATGTTCACATACCACTTCACATCATCTTTTTTTTTCCCCTTAGTTTTTTTCCATTAAATGGGCTATGTATCATTAAGTATAATGCTGTTAAATAATTTCTTATCCATAATTATGTTATGGTTTCATTCATTTCATTACACCTGTAGAGTGAGTGAATGTTGCTGAGCTAATCCTGGATCTGAAACTTGCCAGCCCTCTTTGACATGTACCTGTAGGTCCCATGGACTTGAAAATTACATTGCTGCAACTGATGGAATACTCAAACCTCTTTCATTTTTTCTGAATTTGAGAGCAGGGACACTTAATACTTAAATTCTCATCTTTAACATTGCACAGATGGTGAAATGTTTTTGCATTTTTTATATTATTTTGGGTTACTGAAGTTAATATTCTACTAGCTACAAATATCCACATGCATACCACAGAGTTCATCCCGAGGACAGAGCTCTAAAATGAATTATAGACCTTGGTAACACTCATAAATCAGTTATTTTTTTTTCATTGAGAAAGTGGTGGCACTGGAAGAAAGTTATTTAGTGATCAAAATGCATCGTTAAGCTTTTAAAAAGGGATTCGGTGCCTGTAGTAGAGCTGTAGGCGATTTATGGCTTATCTGTACTCATTGCCTCGAGCTTTTGGAAAATTTGTAAACAAAGACAGATGCTCATTATGTTCCCGTTCAGGGTTGGTTAGATGGGTAAATGCCATCAGAAGCACTTTGGTCCTTTTGGGTTTTAGCATGTTAAAGAAAATGGAATGGCTCCGAAATATTTTTTAAACATTTAGCATCCATGAAAATATACTTGTAGTTTCTGCTTATATAATGGATTTTTTTAAATAGATGTAAATGATAAAAATATGAAAGTAATACTCGGAGAACTGCATTGTGTGCTGAAGTGTGGGTCCAGTTTTTTCTCTGTGTCAGAGTTCATCCTTACACTATGTGATGTAGTCAAGTACCACATGCCCTTTTTAAGGGTTTCAGGAAATACAAGTAGCCTGTGGAAGCTTCAGGCCAGAATAGCTTTGCATTCTGACCAAATTTTAGGATACTGAGATGTGAACTAAGTGACTTTTCATAATCAGCTTGGTATGTTGAGTTGTTTGATACTGATTTGATATGTTTTACTGCTCACCTTTCGTCTTCCATAGAGATTACATAATGTGAAAGGGGTTCTTGTAAACTTGTTTTTTTTTGCTTTTTACTGCTCTTTAAGCACAAGAAAGCATGCTGTTATATCCAAATTGAATTGCTATAGGACAACATATTTTTTCTTGTAATCGTATTTGTTGCAATATAATCATCGTGTAATCTGTCTCATTCATAATTCACAGTTAACTTTTTGGTGTATTCTCTTTTGTTTATTGGCTGCAGCTGACCAAGTAAGCAGGTCATGGCACGCTTAACGAAGAGACGACAGGCAGATACAAAGGCTATCCAGCATCTTTGGGCAGCTATAGAAATAATCCGGAACCAGAAGCAAATTGCTAACATTGACCGTATTACAAAGTAAGTGACCTGTTCCAAAAAAGTCTTGATGAGGGGGAAGGTTGATGCTATTAAAAGCCCTTGGAAACAGAGATAGTAAACATTGTGAGAGACTGTGTGAGAACAATTCTGTGCACTTCTGCGTTACCAATGATTTAATTATTAAAAACCCAACCTTATTGAACTGAGCATCTAAAGATCCTAAAGTAGGTTTAATTCACTGAATTCAGATCTTATCCTGTATTTGTGTTGCATAAACATCTTTAGGAAATATGTAACATTTATAGTACTTTAACTGAGTTTAGCATTTGAGAGTTGTACTCCCTCAATAGCTTGGTTGAAATGTAAGAAGTAAATATAACAGTTAAAGGCAATAAAATCTGTAAATAGTCTATTTCTTTAGGAAAATCTGATAGGCCAGTGGAGAACTCTTTTCCAGAAGGCAGAGTTAAAGCTGAAATGTTAGGCTGCTCAAATAAGCAAGAAGCCATATTTGCTGAGATGTACATGGGATGCTATCAAAGAAGACATGAGATGATTACCACCTGAGAGTAATACTATTAAAACATTCTTCAAGGTGTGTTAGGTGCTGTATACACAGAGAAAAATATATTCTTTGTTCTGTGCAGCTTGCAATGTGTAAAAAGGTTATGCACCATATAACTTGTAGTAGGCACTGTGCTTTGTCTACAGTTGTCTCTGCTTTGTCTACATTTCCAGGCCAACATATACATCACATTTGTCAAAATAATCAATATGAATAATTTAAAAGAGCAAAAGTAACCGGTTAGCAACTCTTCAGTTTCCAGAAAACAATGTGAACTGATAATGAGGCCAGAGACCACTAAAGGGGAGAGTGATAAACAGTGCAGGTGACTAACGAAGTGAAAATCATTATAGCATGCTCCATGACAAGGTCCACTGACAGACTTTGGAAGCTCTGGGGTGGAAGTGACAGGCAAAACTGGCTTCATCAGTGGATGAAGTGTAACAGTTCAGGTTCTCCAAACACAGTGAACAGTGGACAGGAGAAAGAAAAAAGATGATGTCCCTAATGAATTCGTGTGGACCTGGCTTCTACAATAAGAAAAATGCACCATTAAATTGAAAAGCACCTTCCCAGAGATAGGGGGTTCCAGGAGGGTTTGAGAAGGAGATTTTATTTTAGGGAATTTCATTTTTGAGGTTGCACTGGAGTTTCAGAATGCATTAAAGCATATATATATTTTCATCATGTCTCCCAGGAGACAAGTGGGTAAACTAATGCTATACACTTTCCATTTTAACATTTCAAATTACTTGCTCCAGGCTATATATTAGCTGAGTTTGTTAGGTGTTTGTGCTCTTTTTAGATGTAATAAAGGGAGACAGGCACGTCTAGCTGGGAATTCATCCCACTCTTATGAGAGATGCCTAGTTTGAGATAGTGCGAATAACATTTAGCTGGGTAAAGTTAGGTCAGAGAAATCATTACAAACAAGGTTGAGAAAACAAGTAATAAGATACTAGAAAAAGAAGTACAGCTCTTGGTAACTGAAGGGTAGTTTGATTTCTTAAAAAACAGTCTAGATCCAGATTGAATGACTCATTTCTAATCAGAAGAAAATTAAGCGACTAAACAGAAATGCAGGTAGCCTTAGTACTTTCAGAAAGATGCGCAAGGTGTTAGCAGTGAAGAGTAATCTAAAAAGTGCTTGGACATGAAGTGGTCCACATGCACATCAGTGACAAGAGAGATGAACACTGATCTAGGTTCTATGATATCATATTCTTAAGGAGATACATTTTGGTAAGGAAAAGTTAAAAGACCTTTGACTTGCTGTGTGGTACTCGTCATTGATGAAGAAACACAGATGATGCAGTCAATAAATATGCATAATACATAATATTCAAAATATATTTCCAAAATTAGCAAGGCATCAGAATATCAATTCTGATGAAAACTGAGCAGCTGATGAATTCTTCCAGGCTCAAAAATCATTTGGTCATGTCAACTGCAATCCCTTAAAAGATCAATCAGTGTCTGGGTACATAGGTAAACATAGGAGTAATAAGTGGTGCAAATTGAAAATTATGAGCATATGTACAGAGTTGGAGTTAAAGGGAAGATCCTAATACTTGGATTAGTAACATTTTTTAGAAGTGATTAAATTGCGTATTACAAGTATTTGCAAGTAATAATGACAATGCCATTTATGGAAGCATGTCATATTCCTGAGTAAGGATGCAGAAAAACAGCAAGGTAGGATTTTTTTTAACAAATCCATGTTTAAGGTAAGTGACAGTCTTCCTACTGTGTCATAAAGGGTATGACAAGTGGTTACTTTCCGAGAACTTCACTCATGGAAGAGATGCTTCGTTATTTGATTTTTGGTTGGAATTTCTTTTCCCATAGTTTGAGTATTTATTTGTTGCTAGAGACAAGTTCTCCTGTATATTTTGTGACCTGTTAGTCTAAACACCTCCATAGCAGAATTACTATGAAGAATTGCTGCTTTCTCCATCATATGGTTTACTGTGTTTAAGCAAATTTATTTCTTGTCTCTTCTCCTAATGTGCAGCTCAGCATGGTTCTCTCCTTTCTTAATATATTCCTGTTTATTTCATTTACTTCTTGCTTTTCTTAGTCTTCTGGTGCTGAGTAGGAGACACTGTACATGTCAAGGTACATTTTGTTTTCATGACCAGGGAGTTGTTGGTAATACAAAAAGAGGATTCATTGTTTAGAGGTTTTGAACCTTTGCAACTCAATATGTAAAAAAAAGACAAATTTATGTAACACATTAAAATATGCAAAATGTAGCCTGTGCACTTTAAGTGTAATTGTTAGAAAATACCTGGGATAAAGAAAGACTTCCAGAAGATACTGTCAATGGAAAGTATGCAAGAAAAATCTAGAGAACCAGGCACGCATTTTCTGTAGAGAACATCAGAGTAGGAGGATAGTGTAGGAGGAGCCAAGAGCACTATAAGGTACTTCTAATATTATCAGGAAAAACCTATAAGGAAAGAGGCCCTTTAATTAAAAGTAGTCTAAATCAAGTATGCTTTGCTTTTTAAATTGATGAGGGGGAAAGGCAAGAACAGAAAAATGCGTGATTAGAAGTGATTGAAAACTGCCTTACATCAGGGAAAG